TTCTGATTCCTCAGCATCTGTGACCGAACCCTTCAAGCATACCGGTAACTAAAGCTTCTCCAATTTGCCTCGTCACTCAGGGTTGGTGTCTTTTAACGCTAGCTTCTAGAGTGTGCCAAATTGCTGTGAACTTGTTAGCACCTTCCTGAAGCAGTCAATACTCGATGGAGACTCCCCAAAGATCACAGAAGAGATGTTGTGCATCAGTATGGGGGCAGTCTTGGTATCATAGTACAGAATTAACCCTGGAGGCGCCAGAGGAGCTGAGCCCCCTGGACATCTGCGCCTCGTTGAGCCCGTTGCCACACAACACTGGGTCAGTTTGGAGAAACACTCGGATGGCATGGGCACATTCTGCAGGAATGCTGCTGATTTAAGCCCACTATTACTGCTCGTTGACTTGGAGTCATACCTCATTAAGGGAGCGTTAAGTCAGGACACAGTGAAAAAAGGAACAATGACGAGAACTTTTTGGAGGAAAGCTGTCTAAACAAAATTATGTTCAAGATATTTAAAATCTCATACCAGGAACAATTTCCGATTTTCAAGTAAAAGAACCAAAATTTTGAAAATTGTGATTGAATGTTTATATAAAATAACAACAAAAAGCAGTGCATGAATGTAAGGATTGCTTAAAAGCATATAGTCTTGCACCCAAATCTTAATCAAATTCAGCTTTGAACTATGATTAAACTATTTTAACAAATGAATAGGCTTTGATCTATACTGAATTGTTGCTCTGGCTAAATGTTAAAGGTTCGTATTAAGGGGAAGGTGAAGCTCTAAGTATTAAGTCCTTATCAGCTTTTAAGAAATGTTCTTTCGGAATTGCCTATTACCTCTAAACAGCTTCCCTGACTTTGCCTTTGTCTGAAAAACTATGCTTCCAATGTGTTTCAAGGTGGTGATGGGGTGTTAGAGGTGATGTCCAATGTTGGTTTATCAGGCACCTTTTAATTGTGGTCTCATCTAATCATCTTAATCTTAATGTTTGCTCTGTTGCCTGGCCTGTGCTAAAAGAAAAATGAAGCATTCTTTGGGTTTTTCCTTTAACAAAGGCTTTTCTCTAATAACATAGAACCAGATTTGCACACTTTTATCCCTGTTAACTGAGCAGGTGGTCTCAAAAGGAAACAATTTGTATTGGATTTAATTTAAAGCTATAAGAGAAAAACAGTAACTGAAAGCAAATGCAGACAGCATTTTCCAAATGTTATTATTACTTTTTTTGCCGTATAGATCTCTCTTTGGTCACTTTGCAAATTTGCACAAATTTTTGCTTCTTTATCACATACAACCAACATAAAAACATACTTCTGTTGTTGCAAAAAGGAGAAAAAGTTGGAGTAGCATAAATACTTCTGCAACGAAATGAAAAATACCAAACTTGAGTGTGTAGAGACAAAAAGTCACGCAAAAACATGATTAAATCTCTTCAATGTGTATTTACGTAGTAAACGTTAAGCGGTTAATTGGTTCTATCTATATGAAGGCCCAGGATCGCGTTTCGCTCACAGCACAGGGAGGTAAATTTAATTAAAATGAACATGATAAGAGCTGAAAGAGCAGGTTAAAGGATTTAACTTGAGCGCTGAGGGATTGAGACACTTATTAAAGGTCAAGATGTTGCACTGGAAACCCCAGTGGAAGAACATTGACTTTATTTCAATTCTAACTAAAGTGGGGTTCTAAATGTTTCATCCTAATTGATTAAAACAAATCTTGTTTCATTTAAAAAAAAACATCTTGTAAGCCTGGAAATGAACATGACTTTTCCTTCAATAAGTGTCAGATGTGGGCACACTTAGTAGAGTTTGAGCTTGATGTGTTGAGAAGACGTCACAAATGGCAACAGGTGGCACGGCTTGGGAAGCCAGTGCTCCCCTCCGAGTCATAAATAGACTCACAATGGGTCAAAAGATGGACAGAGGAGGAGGAGGCAGAATGACTGCTGCCTATTTTAGGGTGTCCACTGTCAGTATGGAGACTCAGAGACATCAACATCCCACAGACATTACAGTACCACACAAAACAGGCTGGACCAGGCAGATATTTTACTTACTATCTTACTTAAAGCAAACCAAAGGGATATTGATAACATTTCAAGGTAATTCCAGGATATAGCTTTACATAAAACTCCCCCGTTAGTATAAAACATAACAAGTAGATCCTGAAGAATGACAGCTATTCCCTCTGGGGCCCGAAACCAAACTTCTTTCATTTTAAATGAACCCAAAAAACATCAAAACTGCTCTATATTGATAATATCTGTTGATTATTTAGACTTGAACTAAAGCCACTGTAGATGGTGTGTTATAAAGCATCTCTCTACTACAGATACAATATTACCTTACAGACTATTCAGGGGAACACCATTAATCTCTCTTCTTACCCAAAATGTAGGTGATGCTATTACTGGTATATGTTCCCCTATATTTAGTAAAACATCCACTTTAACAGGATGTAAAACCAAAAAAAAGCCAGATCAAAGGGTAAAGGGGGGGTTCTGCATTTTTTTACTGCTCATAGAAAGATACTAAAGTATGTTTAACCCTTGGGATTTAGGTGCTACTCTTAAGAAGTGCCGCAATGTCATATAGTGCATCTGTTATTTTTTTCCCCCCTACTACAGCGAATGAAGGGATGTCCCAGACATGCCATGTGCAATTAGAGGGAGTCACATATCACTTAGAGACTGCTTTAACTTTCTATGTCTTTCTTGGACAGATAGTGTTGCATCCTGCTATAAACACACAGCGCTTAGGAGTTATAAATGCCTGTACATGTCCGTAATAATAGAAAGTATGGAATAAATGTTCAGCTCTACATGTTTCTTAAAAATGATTTCATAGGATTTGAACTGCATTTTGTAGAAAATACTATCAATGAGACCAGTTTTGCACAGGTGGCAAATAGATCTGCACATCACTCTCTTTATATTCTGACTTTTCTTAAGCATCTTGATCAGAAAAATTCTATATTTAATGCTAGACATGAGACGATTTTCTTTTTTTCATTTAAAAACAATCTGACCAAATAAGGCTTTTTAATTTATAGATGTGATACCTACTGTATTTAAAAAGTTAAGGATGTATGATCTGAGCAATGTACCAAAAGAGATTAGATCATCTAAGATTTGATCCCAGTGGTACAAATGCAAACGAAAAACTATAGAGTTAGTTCTTTCCACCAGGATTCTGAATATATGCTGTCATAGATTGAATCACGGATTAAGTAATAACAGTAATAAGTAATTAGAAATAATTTGTTGGCTCAGACAAGAAGCCAAAAGGAAGCCTTTTCACTCTTCATGAGCGGCCATTTTAAAGACCAGACTGAACTGAAAACTCTTCCTCAGCATTAAATAAAAATTGAAGGGTGGTAAAATGATGCTGTATAATATTGTTGACTTCAATAGATTTCGGAAAACACTTTAGTTCACACTGGAGAGCAACTCTGTTCATTTAAGATTAGCCTTTTAGCTGCACCGTGCTTAGCAATTAGTGCTTCGCAATGTTTTTTTTTTATAATCTTGATTCATATTGACTTTTAAAATCTACATTGAGGCATTTTTCATTAACTTTTTTTGTAGATTTTTTTTTCTTTATTTTCTTAAATTTTATTCTCATTAGTTTTAAAGCTGACTAAAGCAAAAACACAAAATAATTAATTTCCATCCAAAGTAATTCTTTTAAAACCACTTTTTAGTAGTCTAAAAATTACTAATAATCCTACTAATAAAACTTTACCTAATGGTAAGCATGGTGGAGATTGTGCTGTGGAGTTGTTTCACCACAGTACATGCTGTGTAGGTTAGTGACGTCTCTGCACACAAAAAGGCTCAATAAAAGAAGAAAAAAAATGTACAAAAAAAAGGTAAAGAGTACATCATTGAGTTTTTGGTTGCACTTTAGCCTCAGCTATGTGCATAACAAATAAATCCTTTTCTCATTCATGATTACCTTAAATGTTCAAATTATACAGCATTTAATTTAGCTTGTGAGAAACCGAAACACACCTGCGAGGGCCTATAGAAAGAGAGGCCTCCACCGTCCAGCCCCTCCTATCTGGAGAAAGCATGTCCCTAAAAGGCCAGTTGCTGGGAATAAATTGTGATTGTGACAGTGCAGAGTGACAGCAGCTGCACAGCATATCTAAAGTGGACCATGATGCAAAGGGGAGGTAGGGAGGGACTGTGGCTGACAGTGTTGAGTTTCAGGAGGTCTTCCAATCTTAGGCACCTGACAAGCCTGGAATATAGAAGCCTGGTTACCGACTGTGGAAGGAGAAACGGCACCCCAAGGACGGGCAGGGGTGACAGACAAGGGTAACAATAACTACACCAGTAGAGACCTAGATAGCGCTGCAGGTTTAGAAAGTCTGCCCTGGTAGCAGAGTTAGAAAAGGAGTCTCTCCACATAATCTAGATTAGAATATTACTACTGAATAAAAAAGACATCCCCCTAAAAAAGATTTCTCATTGCTTATAAACACTTTTTGAACTGGAGTGAGGAACAAATTAGTGTCTATTAAAGCTCGCCACATGGCTTCTCCTTAGACTAAGACTTTCCATCAGCTGGTGCCATGCCTTTGGACAGCTGAGAGTCAGGCCACAGCCACGGCTAATCAGTCCTCATGTTCCTTCTTTAAACCAACCACAATGGGAATAAAATAAATATAGAATCAGACTTTCACTTCAGATAACCTATTCAATAATACATTTGTTTTGAATGAACATCAGCTCATCTCCAACAGGGTTGCATTTATGTAGTTTTTATCCCAACTCAGCTCAACAGGAAACAAAATTCCACACAAACAGTTCAGCTTCTCGTTTCACTTTCTGTAAATTTATTTCACATCAGCCTCTAAAGCCACAAATATTCTTTTAATTCATCCACCAACCAGCAGTAAGGCACTATTTTACACCTTTAAATAAATGCATTCTCTGTTTGATAGAAAAACAAACAAACAATTAAAACAGATCTTTATCTAAGTCTTACCTGCAGTGGCCTGCAAAAGCAGCAGGGCGAGGAAACAGCAGATCGAGACAGTACCCTTCATGATGGCTGCCAGGAGAACTCTAATAGTCTCACATACTATATATACCAAAGCAGGAGGGTTAAAGTGCATGCAGGAGGAAGAGGTGGGGCAAACTGCAGGGCCAACCGGTGGAGGGGCTGATGTCAATGTGTTTGAGGAATACCATGGATATTCTTTAAGCACATTATAACATATTGAATATTTTATTGTCCTACCATCCCATTACTGAAGTTGATTCTCTGTTAAGTGGGAAAAAATACAAATCTAACAACACAATTCATCGGTAGCTTTGAATAAGTAATGCAAGACTTCTTTTTTATTTACGAGGAATATAAATATGACTTCCCACCCATCATTATTCCCCTAAGACACACTTTATGTACAATAGGAAACATATAATAAGATGCCCTTCATGTATTGCAGATATGTGTTGATCTACTGTACATGATTATGAAAATGAATATTTAAACAATAGTCTATCCATTTTCCGTCACACTTTATTCCAAGTGGGGTCGCAAGGGGTGCTGATGCCTCCAGCTGTCTATGGGAGAGAGGCGGGGTCCACCCTGGACAAGTCCCAGTCCATCGCAGGGCAACACAAAGACAAACAGGACAAACAACCATTCATGCACACCTAAGGAGAATTTAGAGAAGCCAGTTAACCTAACAGTCATGTTTTTGGACTGTGGGAGGAAGCCGGAGTACCCGGAGAGAACCCACGCAGGCTCAGGGAGAACATGCAAACTCCATGCAGAAACCCAAAACCTTTTTGCTGCAAAGCAGTAGTGCTACCCACTGCTCCACTGAGCAGCCTCTAAAAACAATACCCTTTCACTTAAATGTATCAAAATCTAATCTAATCCAAGCATTTCTTTGTTTCCTGGATGAGAATGGTGAGTGAAGTAGAAAATTGAAATAAAAATGCTCCAAAGCAGTAGCAAGTCGCATCTTGGGATGCAAGATGGTTGTTTAGTTGTTATGGAATAAAATTCAAAGGTTTAATGGTACGTAAATTGTTTGGTTGGAAGAAGGCTGCAGCTAAATGGTGGAGTACAGAGGGGGATCTGTGATGCTGTGGGGTTGTTTCTTTTTTAAATGCACTAGGAACGTCTCTATTGTGAGCATCATCAGGGCAGGAATGTTTTGCAGTGCACATTCTGGGACTATCAGCCCTCATCTCAACCACCTGACTGCAGAAAATCTAGAATGTCGCATTATAAACTTGAAATATTTAAACTAAAAATCTGATGGTCTATGCCAGAAAATTTTAAATATGTAATCCTGCGTTTAAATCGGATAAGGATCCTAACCTTTTTGGGCCAACATGCTCAAAAATATTTCACCACTGAATGACACCAACACATATGAAAATCACGGAATACCTCAAATAATTAGAAAAAGACAAGGTAATTAACCGTTCATTTTATGTTAGATTATATCGAGGGGAAGACATTCTATGCTTATATGGACTCCCAAAAGTCCATAAGGAAGGAACACCACTCAGACCTACTGTTAGCAGCATTTAGCAACTCAGTAACATACAACATTGCTAAACAGCTTACCAATATTTTACCCCCCCTGGTGGGAAACACACCACATCACATAGAAAACTCAAACAAAGTCATACATTGAAAGATGGTGCCAGGAAAAACCCTGGTATCTTTTGAAGTTACTTCACTTTTCACATGCATACCTATATAAGAGGCAGTGGAAACAGTCAGGAAACGTCTTCAACTACACAGTGACCTAAACAACAGGACTAATTTCACTCCGGACCAGATCTGCACCCTAATGGACCTTTGCCTTTCCACATCCTGTTTGAAGTTCAAGGATAATTTTTACAGACAGAAGCATGGTTGTGCCATTGGATCTCGTGTCACCAATTGTAGCCAAACTTTATGTGGAAGAAATAGAAAAGAGAGCTTTGGACACCTTCAGAGCAAAAACATCAAGCCACTGGTTGTTGGTTGGTGAATTTTGACACATTCGTCAAAATCCAGCTAATAGAAATCGAAGCTTTCACAAGACTTCAGGGGACCGAAACATCTTGCCTAATCCGCCAGGCCAACAATGACCCTAACCACTCCCTTTTCAGAGGCATAGGCCAGTATTGGGTATTACAGGCAAACAATGGTCTGAACGTCTCCCCATTACTAAGGGGTGGACCTGTTTTTGGTTCAATTTGCATGTTTTCTAAGCCATAACAAGGCTTTGTTGGGCTGCTCTATAAAGCCTTGAACTTAATGCTAGACATTTTGAATTGAGAAAGCTTCCTGGATGGGAAGCGAACTGTCCTCAAACTAGGAAAACAAAGTCCAGTGGTTTGTTTTTTAACTTTTTTGGAATTACGATAACCTGAATGACTAGAATCTTCCCCGGCGTATTTCACCATAGACAAAACCAAATATCTTCCCCACAATATCTTTCAAGAGATTAAAAAAAAACATGTGGGCTTAGCTAAAAAAAAAAACCTTATTAAAGCAGCTAATGGGCCTGATTACCATGCATGTTATATTTTGTGCATTATATGGTTAAACGAAATCAAAGGGATCAAATAAATGTATGAGAAATGTATTTATGTAATATTTCTTAGGGTGATCATCCAATTAATTTTTTTTTTGCAAATGTCAGGGGTTACAACTATTAAAGATAGATGCATTCAATTCAATCATGCAATAGATGATGAAGGACTTATTTAGGATAAAGCTTTTATTTTCTATTTAAAACAGAAAAATACACTGATGAAGTTTATTTGTCTTAAGCCATTTTAACACAATCATCAACAAATGTCAGCGTTAGAAAATGTGCCCCTGGTTGTATTAATGTAGATTCTAAAACATGCACACTAAACTAACTCTGCTGGCATATTAATGAGAGTTTTCACCACCAGCAGAGTGAGAGTCGAGGAGAGTCTGCCTGAGTCAGCCTTGAATCCCTCAGACAGGCCAACGCCGGGCGGATTACTGTTTTATCACCCTCAAACAGAACCAAAGTGGCGAACATAATCTCACCAGTCCTTGGGAATCAACATCTCAAATTTAAATTAATCCCCAAATATGGCAGGAAGTTTCTCTCCCGACCATATCCATCCCAAATGACTCGGGACGCGAGTCCAAACATTATGGCATTTGCTTTAAATAATTGTTTTCCAAACAGCTCTTCAGCCAAAAACAAATGACAAACACTAGTATCACTTATTTAGACTTTGTTCAACTTTGATGTGCCAGTAAGGGGAAATATTAATCCATAATCAGATTAAAGGATATTGTAGAAGGTGTTGATAAATCCCTACATAGTACTACTATATAGTAATGTTCAGTCATCAGCGAAGTGAGATTAAAGGATTGTCAGTTATTGAAATGGGACAATAATTGAATGCAGAAACTATTGAACTAGATAATTTCACCAGTGCATTTCTAACATTTGAATATTCACACAAAATAATTAATCCAACAATTTTATTCAAAAAGTGAAACATTTACAGATCTATTATGGATTCATTTCATTATTTATTTATGGTTTACAGCAAAGGAGAATCCAGAGCTCCTTTTTTGAATATCAATATTAAAAAGAACAGAACAATTCTCAGTTTTTGCTTTATTTTGAATAGTTCTACAAGGAATTGGTTGTTTTTAGGAACGTGGCTTTCAACAGTTAATAAAAAGTTAAGTAGAAGGAAAATGATATCGGAAAAAACAACTTATGTTCCAGTTTAATTTTCTTTAAAGCTGTATTTTGTTGTTTTTATCACAAGTTCTAGTAAAAGTATCTTCACTTTCTGAAAGAAAATATTTAATAATAATCTGATACAATCAGCTATAAGCAGCTTGCAGTAGCTTTTTCTACAGCGTGGCTCGGTACTACCTTAGAGATCTACCGTAGTAAGGAGCTCGGCCCTGCAGGAGCGAATTGAGGGATGCTTCTTCTCCATAACGAGTGGAGTCAGAGTGGACTCAGACATCCGTTCTGGAATCCTCTCTTAGGAGACCCAGGGGACGACCCCGGGGCCAGTAGAGAGACTGATGGAGCGCCTCTGGCTTCCCCAAGCAGAGCTGGAGGTGTCTGGGGAGAGGGAAGTGTTGGCGTCTGCTGCCTCCATGAACAGGTCGCAGATAAAACAGACGACTGATACATTCATCTGATACATTTAAATTCATTTTAGCACCAAGTGTGATTTACAATACTTATTGTTTAGCCATTTAAATAATCTACTTGAAGGATGTTTTTTTTCCTCCATTCATCATTCAATGAAGATAAGGTTATGATTAATAATCATTCAACACTTCCAATAAGGGTGGAAACAAGGGACTTTGGTTAATGCATGTAAGGAAATGACAAAAGATGCCACCCACTCCCCCCGTTGAGTATGTTAACTGACACAAAGAAGCTGGTCAGTCTTTATTTAGCAAAGAATAAGGGAGGGAGGCGTGTCCCCAGTTCACCCACCAATCGGGGGCGGACACTTAGGCTTTATAAGCCTGATGGACACAAACTGAACCAGTCGATGGTTCCTTAATGACCGATCATTTAAGGGAACAAAAGAAAACAGACATACACGAGCCAAATGTTTAAAAAACAAAGTACAAACTTTATTATTCTGTCTTTACAAAGGCACAAGCCTCTTTACCCCCGAAACATAAAAAAAACAAAAAAAAGGAAAACAAACAAATGTAATAGCTTTTTGATGATCATATGCATTAACCGGTTTAACAAAGTATGAATGGGGAACAAAAATAGAAAAAAAAAAACAAGAGGAAAAAACAAAGCTGCAAACTGAAAAACAGATACAATACATAAACAAGAGGATAAAAGATGCGAAACAATGGGAAGGGTCAACTGATAAATGGAGGACTCACATGAAGGAGTTGGGGATACACAGCTGTGCAGTTTTCTCACTCATAACCTAAAGAGCGCCAGCTGAACAGAGCCCCCTTTACACAGAAAAAGAGGCAAACTCCCGTATATTACAGTAAGTGCTTTGTAATCTTCGCCCTACTAATCTGACATGCCCACATTATAGATTTGTAACGCAAAACACAGATTAAAGACAGACGCATGGAGAGTAACCGATTCTGAGATCCAGCAGGAAAACTTTCCAAAGCAGATGCTGGGAGGAACCGGACCATCCCTCAGTCCTATAACAACAACAGACCCAACATCAACAGGTTTAAAGGGGACTTCCCATCACATAAATCATGACAAGGAGTGTTTACCTCGCCGTCTGCCCAGCAGCTCAAAGCTCAATCTTTGCATGGTCACCTCCAAAAGCTGAGATCCAACATTTTATCTGATTTATTTATTTTTTATTATTATTCTGAAGGATCACAGGAAACCTTTACTATTTTTTCTATGGAATGTGTTTAATCGAAGTTTTGTTTTTTTCTCCCCCATATATTTCACACGAAGGATGCAAGAGCTTTCATATCGACACAAACGGCGCTTTGCAAAAGTATCCACAAGCTTCCATTTAGTTAGTTAGGACTTTATATGATAGACCAACAAAGAGTAGTAAGTAACTATAGTGAAAGGAAAAGCAGAACTGGTGTGAGACGGGTTTGCAGAGCACCTATAGAGACTGAGAAAGGATTTGAGACTGAGATGAAGGTTCAGGATCAGAGTCCAGGCCCAAATTCAATTAAGAATCAGTGGCAAACATTACATTATACCATGGGAATGTTTCGTTTCTTCTTCCTGCAGCAGAATCTTAATAAGAGTAAATTAAATGGAGCAAAACACAGGTAAAAAAGATTGTTTTTCCTTTCTGCTTCACATCTATCCACTACTTTGTGTTGGTCTAGCTCATTAAAGTCTGCCACCCTTAAGGTTAAGAGAACTTTAGCAAGGAACTGTATATCCAAACATGTCGACATACATAATTGTAGGGAAAACATATTTAAAGAAACCCTAATAACTGGGAATACGTGTAATGACATGGCTGGTGCTTAGGAGCCGGATTGCAGAGGTGACCAGTTGCCACCAAACGAAGTGTCCGGATTTTTCTCTGGAGCTGTGTGGAAAAGATGGCCTCCCTGCAGCCAACAATAAGGTCTCATAATAAGGCAAGCTGCAGCCCCTCTCTTGGCTACAGTTCAGTCATTATTACATTATCAGGGAAATAGGAAAAAATGCAGAACAACTACGTACGGATATTAGGAAATGCATAGAATACATGTAGTAAATCCAGTCTCCCCCAGTGAACGACACTATAACAAACTCTCTCTGCATTTTCCCCAAATTTCATCACACTCTCCTTTGACATTTACCCTAAAATGAATCGTGCTCTTAGGATCGAGCAAATAAAATGATTGTTTTCATCCTTTTTGTATCAACAAGTCAGACATCTCAAGGCTAAAGTGTTGAAGCTTCCGACTGCCAGAGTCCTGGTCACCACTAAGCCTTGCTGCCTTAAAACTCTCAGACACAAACTCCTAAAAAGAACTCAACATGGATTAGCTTAAATAACCAGGTCAGGTGCTTTCATACTCAAAAGGGGAGGATGCTTATAGTGAAAGGTAGAAGAGGAAAAAAGATGTGGGATTACTGGGATCCCAGCCCAGCAAAAGAAAAAAAAAATTAACAAAACTGGAGTTGTGAACCAGTAAGTGCACTCTCTTATCATATGAGCACCAGTCAGCCTTTAAAACAGCTTTTCGATATATATATTTAACTTTTAGTAGAGACTTGAAGAGAAAAACATGAATGTTTTGACTTAAGAGCAATAAAAACAGCGAGGAACTTTTAGGACAGTCTTGCAAGCTCACAGTGTCTTTGCAAACAGCTCGTCGGTTCTCTAGCCAAGCTGTTTGAAAGGGCATCCATCTTCATAATAATCACGCTTAGATGAAAGGTGCTGGCGTCACACCAGTGTGCCTCCTTCCCGCTGCTCTGAACAGTCAAACGGCTTCCAGCACCAGGAGGACAGTCCGACGGCTACTGGAGATGATTATTGGGCGTTTGAAACTCCAGTTTCCAGTTTGACAGAGTCTATAAAAATCAGTCGTAGTTTTAATAATATTTCCATAGATTCGTGGAGGAAAAAAAAAAGTTTTTGTAAGTGAGTAAAAGAGCAGAGGCTGGAAGTAAGCGAAAAATGAGAATCAATGGGTATGTGTGTGGTTTCAGGTGCCTATTATAGTAAAAACTGCAGAAGAGAGAGAAAGACGGAAAAATAAGTCAGAATGAGTGCTTTAGTCCGACTACAGGGCTGATTTTTGTCCACAGAACAAGAGTGCTGTGGGCTTGTAGTCTCCCTCATCCCTGGTTAGCTTCCGGGCCCTTTCTGTGTGAGTGTGTGCGTTTATGAAGCTGTATACGGTACACCAGCTCATGGCAGCGAACAGTCGTCAGGGCCGTCGCTGTTCGAGGCCGTGTCTGAGCCAGCCACGTCGGAGAGGACGCGCCCTGAGGTGACAATAACCGCTCTCCTCTGCTCCTCCTCCAAACCCTTCCCCTGGGTGCCCTCAATGTGTTGGATTGCCTGGAAGATGAACAGAAGAGACACACCAAGAGATTAAAACGCCCTCTAGTGGCCAGATGTGGAGATAAAACCCACAGGACTTTAATTGGAGTTTAAACAGCAGCTCACTTGAACAATGGTGTCCAGGTTCTGTCGGGATGTGGACACCGAATTAATAACCGATGATGGGCCCATGGTTACCACGGTAACATGGTGGGGTTGAGGAGTCTGTGCTGGTGCAGGAACGATGACTGTGGCATGGTGTGTGGGTGCAGGAGGGGTAGCAGGAGCCAACACCTGAGGGAATAAACACATACATTATTCTAACAATCTCACAATGCATAAAGAAAAAAAATTCCAATACAGTCACTAAGGAAATATACATTTATATTTCAAAATAGCTTTACTTCAATTTTAAGGTTTACCGTAAATCCATACATGTACCATTTTTAGATTATAAACCTAAAAATTCTTATGTTTGCAAAAATCCCTCAAAAGATTCAGTAAATTTGTTATTGGTCATCATTCAGGAAAATATTATTACAAAATTTCTAAAATGTTTGCCACACAGTCATCTTATTGAAATACTTACATATTCATTTAATTTCATTTCTAGTTTAGCATTTAAAATATTCTTAAATCTCTAACGTTCTGCTCTCTCTGCTTTTTCTCATAGCTTTTACTCGTCTGTTTCTGTTTGGCTGTGACGCCATAATTGGAGAGAAATATCAGCTGTCCTGCTGCCGTCAACACCTTTGTTTATAGATGTTGGAGATCGGCCTGTTTTTCAGTGTGATCCTGTTTCTCTGACTGTGACTGGCTGGAGATCCCCTCTTGATCCTCTGACATCGGAGCTGGCTCGGTGCTCGTCTGCCTGGCTGTGCGTTTGCTGGACGGGGCCGCCTTTTACAGTTGCTTTTCTATCTGCTTCTGTCTCCTTGAACCCCAGTCGGCCTCGGCAGATGGCCGCTCACACCGAGCCTGGTTGTGCTGGAGGTTCTTCCCGTTAAAAGGGAGTTTTTCCTCTCCACTGTCGCTACAAGCATGCTTAGTGTGAGGGATTGCATTTGAGTCAATGAGTTGAAGCAATCAACTGGTTTTCCTTAGATGGAAAACTTTGAATCAATTTGACTGTATGATCTGGTGAACTATAGAGTGCCTTGAGATGACACGTGTTGTGAATTGGCGCTATATAGATAAATTGAATTGAATTAAATATTTGTATGCATTCATTTACACCGCCAGTCACTAAAACTGAGACCCCCTGATAAAAATGTATATAAAAGCCCTAAAATAAAATAAAAGAAAAAATGGCTCCCGTAGAGATTTGCCACCTCACTGCAATTCTCCAACAGCAAGCTTAGCAGTTTCCCCCCTTTCTTAATGAGCTCCATGTTGTACATACTGGCAAGACACACTTAGTTCCTAGAGATGAAAATAAACTATTTAAACATCACTTTTTTGATATACTGAGTTTTTTTTTCTTAAAGCCCTTTCCTGACCTTTTAAAATGAGTCTTTCCCCATTTTGAACAACCCCCCAAAAATGTTGATTTTTTACCAACAGTGTTCTATTGTAGCTGGGACAAAGAACCTATTTTATGGTAAAAGTGTTGTTGCTGAATTTATACATAATGGTTTTCTATTAGATTTTTTAAATTTACATAATATATAATAAAACATATCTCCTGCAGACTATAGTGCTTCTTTTCCTGCTCAGATTGTCAGAGTAAAAGTGACAGCAGATAGAGAGGGCGCGGATGTTGTGAGCTCAACAACATGAGCCTGATGACATGATGCTAATGTTACAGCATAAACTCGCCAAAAAAAAATGATTTAAGGGTTAAAGATGATAGCTTTTAATACCTGCATAAACAGAACTACACCATCCTTTTAATTGAACTTGTTAAAATGATAAACAACAAACACCAGTTTTATCTAAGTGATCTGGGCTTTACTGTTCTGTGGGGGGGAAACAGTTACGGGCCTTTAAATAAGCCTATTCTAAGGTTAGTTTTTTCCTCATCCTTTCAAGAAACATTTTTCTGTTTGCAATAAGTGGCAACAAAAAGGGTCAACATTGTGACGTCTTTCATCAGAGAGTTGTGATGCTTTGTGGCTCTAAACTCCCTGGATTTGGTTTCTCTTTTTCAACTTACCGGTAACTAAAAAGGATTGACCATTTTTAGAACATCATCAACCCAGGTTACTGTGTTTTAAGGCCAATTTATGCTTCCGTCAAATCTGTCTCTGTGCGTGACCACGCCCCCCGTGCAGAGGTTCTGCAACCGCCGCCGCGCACCAAAAAAAAAAATAAAATCCTGACTACGCGTCTGACGGCCCCAAACCCGTACAGACCACAAGTGGAAGTGCGCAGACAAAAAGCAGCTGTGATTGGTCCTTGTTATGCCTTTCATGCGGTCTGTGTGGTCGTCCTTCTCGACTCGGTGCCGGGGTGCGCCATTTTTAAAAACCGAGAAACAACAACAATGGACAACTACAATGAAAGGTTAATCGAGGAGGATCGGAAGGACAATCCGTGGAAGTCCTTGCGAGTTCTCGAATAGGCTCCCCTTTGCGCTTTGACAGGAAACTGCTGTCCGTCCCTAGAAATTCCAGACCGACGGTGCAGAAGAATACCAGCAAAACTGGTTGTCGACCAGACGCAATCGACATTTGACTTGGTGCCCTTTAGTCACCAAGTTGGGTCTGATCTTGCACTCTGTTTAAAGCCTCCAATTGCTAAAGATGCTGTTAGCTCTTTCAGAGATCCACTACAAATTATTCCTAATTTTGAATGTGTGTATTTCATCGATGATTTAATATCCCCGGTGGTCTGTGTGGTTGAACTTGTGCACCATGTTTGGTAACCCTGCACTGACTTAACTGAATAGGTACCTTCATTAAAAATCTAAAACGTGTTATAAAAGCTGCAGTTAGAATCGTATGCGTCCTCTACAACAGCTCTTAGTAACATTGGATAAAAGTGATTAAAACCAAACGATAGTTTTAAATATAGTTAGAATGACAAATGCAAGAGTTTTTCTTGCCATAACCTTAGAAATTCTACTTTTTTCCCACATTATTTTCTACAAACAAACATCCTATAGAAGAAATCAGCTTTTTGCAAAGTTTTATGTACCTTTTAAAACCTCAAAACATGGTTAAAACTATACTTCCTTAATTGGCAACAGATTTCCTATGGCACATATCTATCAGACATTGTTTGGTTTAAAAAAAAAAATTCTTTAGATGGACTGTGTGAAAAAGTCAGACCCAGATAAATTAAACATTTTAGGGGAAAATATGCATCGTTTCTTCAATTTTTTTTCTTCATTTTTTAAATAAACTGATATATCTATAAGCTTTCCCATAAAACTGCTTCACTATAGGCTGGAGGCTCATTTTGTGATGATTAAATAAAGCAGATACTGAAAGTTAGATTTAGTGAGCAAAGATGCTGAATGTTCTATAAGCCAGAATGAGATGGATTCTACCTGAGGGCTGTGTGCTGGAGTGATGTCTCTCTCTAGCTGCTTCGGCAGACGAACAAGACCTGGCGTCTGGACTTGCTGCTCCTGGACCAGCTGGGTGATGGCCTTCAGCTTCTCTGGGTACATCTGAGCATCCATGGAGCGCATCTGCCCAACGAGGACACGGCGGGAAAAATCCAGGTCAGTTTCCGCACTGAAAGCTTATGAAAATGTGTGTTTTTTTCCTCCGCTCTACTGTTACCTGATCCTCCAGCATCATTCTGACTGTACGCTCCTTTTCCAGCTGCTGCCTCAGCTCAATCATCTCCCTCCTCAGGTCTTCAGTCTTTTCCTCCTCCAGAATGTCTGGTGAGCCGATGCCTTCGTCTTTCTCCTCTGCACGTCTTCTCTTCGGGGAAGAACCGCTTAGCTCCTGGAGAACACAACCAAAAGGTTAAGATATGTGGCTTAAAAGCACTAAAACCTGAACAGACGTTTGGGCAGATTCATGCAGACCGCTTTACCTGTACCTGAATGATTCGTTTGAGCTGACTGTTCTGCTGCAATAGCCGCGTCTTCTCCTGCTCCAAAGTGAAGATGTACTCAGCTGTTTGTTGCAGGATTGCTGCCTGAAAAACAACACAGCTCATTTATAACAGCAAGTTATCCCTTTTCGCTTTAAACCAGCAATGTATTCTATTTGGACTTAAAATCGATTGTTTAAGCGTTGTCACCAGTTTTCAATTTGATTAACATCAGGACTTTAACTCATTCTAGAACTTAAAAAACCACAGTGAAGGATGACTCAGTCTTAATTCCCCTCTATCTATATTCCTATAAACTCTGACGAGCTGATCCTTAAATGACAAGACTCCCACTGCATTATCCAGCCACCACCATGTCTTGTATTGGGAAGTTGCTGTTCAGTGCTACATTTGCCAGTCTACATCTCATCTGATTAGAGCATCTTGACAGGACTTTTTATAGTAGTGGTTTCTTTCTTCTCAATTTCAGCACCCTAAATAAAAATATTCTCCCACCTGTGCTTTTTATGCTTGAAGCTCCCCAGAAAAGGGATGTCCAACATACCTGCTTCTCTGTTTAGTGCTCTCCTTGCATATGGTTCCTAATAGTGACCACCGTCATTCGCTAATTTTGTCTTTTTGTTATTTCGAGAATAAAGCTGCAACATTATAGGAATAAAGTAGTAACATTACAAGAATAAAAAGTCTCATAATGTTACGACTTTATTCTTGTAATATCATGTCTTAATTCACACAATTTTACAACGTTATTCTATAAAAAAACAAACAAAAAAAAACTAACCTAATACTCTAACACTGTCGTAGTTTGTTTCCTAACTTCTAATCATCAGAATTAAGCTCTTGATTTAAAATAAAGACTTAATTTTCATAAAACCTGTGACAGGAGGACATTAAATGGGGACATGCCTCTGCCTCGCTATGTTGTAGTTGTTGTTCTTTATAATCAAAACGATAAAAAATACAATTTAAACTAAAATAAGCACCTTTTACAAGGTAAAGCTCATCACCGAATTCAAACCCACAGTTTGTGACCCACCTTGCTCAGCTTCTCCCCATCACTGTGTGGGATGAGTGTTTTCAGTGACTGGAATCCAGCGTTGATGCTCTGCATACGCCGACGCTCATTGCTGTTGGCGATCTCTCGCCGAATTCGCCTCTCTTGATCCCGGGCTGTTTCTGGGGTCAGAGGAATGTTGGCCAGACTGAGGGGGAAACAAGGGGGAGCAAATCTGTTAGTTGATAATGAATTGTGAGCTCAGAGGAAAGCTTCAGCTGTTTCACTTCAGCAGTGACACTTTCTATACAGCAACTACTATCATGCACTTATTATTTGCACTTTTACTCACTCTTTTACCATATCTTTCATTCAAAGTGCCTCCCTGGAGTTTGAAATACAGGCATACTTTGCACTTGCATTAATTATATTTATCATAAAATAAACATTTGTAATAACATAGCTGTTTTGTGTTTATATCAATTGCGCTACAAGCAGCATTCATGCAATGTATGCATTTCAACAGTAGAATATGTTCAGAGGTTGAAATGGCCAAATGAGGCTTTGTATGTCCTAGGCTTTCATATAGAGGTAATTCTAAGAGTGCTTCCTGCAACATCCTCTGCTTCCATCTCTGTATCGCCTGCCAAGCTCTTAGCTCTACTGACTCAGCTGGCTCAGCGCAAACATCACAAACTGTTGTGCAGACACAGATGAGAAAACTGTGCATGTGTGTTGAGTGTGAAGATGCACAGACTCCAAGCATCACTGCAACACTGCCAAAACCAACCTTTACCTTTTCTAATGTTGAAATATTAGAGGAGCAGAACCTGACAATCAAATAATTATTGGAATGACTGAGTTGTTGACGTAATAATTAACGCCCTAATCAGTTCACTGGACTGTAAACAGGTGTGTTGCAGATTATGTACACAGAAACCACATCTGCATGAAGAGCAAAACAAAAAGGCATAAAGAGAAATCATATTCTATTACCTGCATTCATTTTACTCTTTCACATTTGGCTGCAGAGCCAGAGCCACTTTAGCTGGTAATATAGGCAATCTATCTAGCATTGTGGCTCTAAATAAGCATCAATCAGGCCTTTTTTTAAGCTAATACTGATTTAAAATAAAACAGAACAATGTGCATCAGAGTACCCTCCCTGAAATAAAAGAAATAAAATTTGATTTTTACCCAATGAACAAATCAAGAAAGATGCAGGTTTATGTTTTTAGAGCTCCAAACCGAATGGAGTAGTTAAGGATGAAAAAAAAAACCATCTGTTAATTATCTGATTTACAGATCAAAAATCAGAATTAAAGTAAGACCGGCTTACTTTCATATATGGCAGACTGCTGGGTTCAAACTCTAGAGACATATGTATAAAAACAAAACAAAAAATGTGTGCATCTTTATGTAATGATATTGTACTTTGCAGATAATATCCAACAAGCTATAAATAATAGAAAATAAAAATACATTCACAATTCACGGATCTGCGTTAGCAAGTAATCACAAAGTGCTTTACAAATACTGGCTTTGGAGAATGGCTACAAAATCTCTCTGCATGTCAATAGAAAATATATTGTTGTTCTAAAGGCTTTAGGAAAAGGTAATATGATTGCTAATTAATCAGAAATTATATGAAAAAAAATCTAGGACATAAAAGGACCCATTCTTACATTATGAATAAACACCCTAGATTAAAATGTAAATTATATAAATAACCCAAATGTAATATCACATTAATTTTATATCATTAACATATTTGATCAAATGTATGTATTCTGAACCTATTTATGTCTTCAGTAAGCGATTATACACGGTAGCTGTTTCATTTGATACCTGCTGACCCACTATCAGCTGACTGGTGGTAGAATTAGAGCGAATAGATAAAGGACTACATTTCCCAGAGTACCCTTGCGAGAACAGCCGTCGCAGCAGCACCGAACAGCAGAAGATCCCTCCGCCTCCTTCTCCAAACAGGGCTGCGGACGTATCGACGGGCCTTCCGCGACACACACACCCCCCTTATTAATAACGCAACTTTCAATATTCCTGCCTCCCCCCTTGAACGCTAAATGTCCAGTTACCGAACATGTGTTCAGTAATATTTGTAAAAGCAGAAAGAAGACACCCCCCCCTTCTTTGCCGCGGAGCCCTACAGCACCTCGGTGCTCCGACTTTTTTCATGTCCTCCGCCATTACAACAATGCGGCAGGCAGCATGGCAGAGGTGCGGGATGAAAAGACGCAATGGATGTCGCTCCGCGGCGCTAGCAAACCGCATAGAAACTCGAAACATTTAACCACAACCTATAATAAAAGTAAACGCTAAACAAGCAACTCACGTTTTACATAAAAAGAAAACAATATATAATAGAACGGGAGACTAAATAGACCCCCCCCCCATCACTTTTAGCTGAAGCCACAAGCATGGCCGCACTACCCACAATAACTTCGGCTCCCTTTCAACAAATCACCTCCCTCTACAAACGTGTGCAGACCCTTTCAAGGACAACAATACTTCACAGTGAAATATTCCCCTTTCCTATGCAAATTGCAGCAGCCATATGAGAGATAATATACAGATAAATAGATGTGGGATGTGCTCTGGAGCGGAGCAGCAGCGTGGTGTGCACAGAACCACGTGGTTAATGTTTGTTAGGCATAAAATACATCCCATTTTGTACAAAACGAGCGAAATACAATGCAAGAGACGTTGCACTCGCAGCACGAGACCCCGATGCGCTCATCTGCAGCATAACACCGGTGTTTAGTGTTAATTAGCGCCCGCAGCTCCCCCCGTGAGCGGGTGGTGTACACAATAACAGATCAGATCAAACATGTTGCCTCAGATCAGCGCATGGACAGCTTTTACATTTATAATCTGACTGAATGGAGCGCGTGTGGTTTGTATACACACCTACAAAGACCACCAATCACTTCTTTCTCCGTTTTCCTGAAATGTTGCAGCGGGGGCACCTTCTGAGCTGAAACCATGAAATACTCCATGCTTGCTTCTCGCCAGTTTGCCCCCCTTCTCCAAAAAAAAATAAAAAATAAAATAAAACACAAAAAAAGGCAGTCTCCTTAGATGAAAGGGAACAGCTGATAAAAATCCCGTGATCCTGAAAGTAAATCCGGATCCCTCGTCCGTTTATTGTAGTTCTTTTTTAGGAGTTGTAATGTTACTGGGCTTCCAGCTGATGGGGTTCCCTCGTTGTGTGTGGCGCTCTACCTCTCCGTCTCCCTCCCCTTTGCTTTCTCCCTCTGCATGACCGTGTCTCTGTGTCTGTGTGTGTGTGTTAGTGTGTGTGCAGCTGATCGGATTGCTTTCAAGGCGGGAAACAGCTGGTAGGAGTCACACACCGCACCACCAAACGCCTCCTTCCGCAGAGAGGCGGGGGGGCTGCGTGTAAACAAAGGACTATTTGGCGCACAGAGACATAGAAACATATAATTTAATTGCGCAGAATAAACTGTAAAAAACAATCAGTCGTTGGTTATTGGAAAAAAAAAAGTGACTCTACACACGGACGGTTCTAGACAGGGGCCAACGGGGGGTAGTGCCCCTATACTGACGAAATAATACTTAAAAGAAATTCTAATGATGATATGCGCTGGAACAGACATGGTTACAAATGGGTCGTTTGAATCTATTTCATTTTTATCTTTACAAATTATGTTTTATTAATTATTTAAAAACAATAATGGTATTCAGTGGTATTGATCCCATTTTTCATCTGCAAATTTTTATTTTCCCACAACAAATAGAGAAAAATATACTAAAATTTTAACAGCTACATTTATCAGTTTTTTTTTTTGTTCTAATTCAGATTTGATAGAAAATGGTAATTTTAACTTAAATGAAGTAAAAAAATATATGTAAAATTCCTAAATTATAAATCTATGTTGAACCCATTAGAAATATATTTTTTATTAAACCTAAGCTCTCTTAATATATTTGAATCCCTTGTCCTGTTTTTCATTTCATGCTTTTCTGTGCCCCCATGATCCCCCGGTGCACTGACTCTAAATACAAACAGCAAACTGAATTCAGTCAATTAAATAATCATAACTTGGCATAATTTATTTAAACTTTCATTTATATTTTCTAGTGAGCAATTGTACTACTTAAACAGATGAGTTACATACCTATACTCAGGCCAGCTCTGTGATTGGATGCCCTCTGGACTGCAGGAGGTGGGAAACAAAAGGATCCTACCTAAATGAATATCTCTGTTGGATAATGATTCCCACCCCATGCATGAAACTGCTGCAGAACTGGACAGCTCCTTCAGTAACAGACTGCTGCACCCTAAATGCACCAGGGTTTCACGGTCTTGGATCCGTTATGTTTTACTTTGCTCCATGTTTTCTAGTTTTTTATTATTTTGTTGTATTTTCTAGATATGTTTGGGTTCTTAGGTTTTTATTTGTTGCCCTTTTGTGTTGGTCTCCTTTTCCCTAGCTCCGCCCTAAACTCTCTTCACTCTCTCCCTGCTCTCTTCACACCTGCTCCCAATCAGCTCGTCAGTCCTCTCTTTGTATAGTCGGCCATAAATATTCTCCTTGTGTAGTTCCTCAGTGCCGGTTCCTTGTCTTACTTCATCTAACCTCGTCTCTTCTTGCCTTTCCCTGACTCCATGTGCCCTTTTCCCCTGATGTTTCCATGGTTATGCTTTGTTTTACATGTTTCATGTTGGATTTTTGGATTCCTGCCTCTGTTACCTGTGTTTATTCAATTAAATCTTCAAGAAACTCACCCCTGCCTCAACGCCTCTGCATTTGGGTCCAAAAACCACAACCAAACTTTAATAGAGGAGAGACAAGGAACCAGCACTGAGGAACTGCACAAGAAGAGTATTTATGGTAGACTTAACAAAGAGAGGACTGATGAGCTGATTGGGAGCAGGTGTGAAGAGAGCAGTCTAGGAAGGAGCTAGGGAAAAAGGAGACCGACACAAGAGGGCAACAAATAAAAACCTAAGAACTCAAACATATCCAGAAAATACAACAAAATAATAAAACTAGAAAACATGAAGCAAAGTAAAACATAACAGAACCAAGACCGTGACACAGGGAGCGTTATCACAGATCCTTCCTCCCAGCAGCGGTAAGACTTTATAACATCACTGTTCCCAACAACCTCAATAAGCTGTTACATTAATTTTGCACAGTTTCTATTTTGTTAGGTAAATAACATACTGCTGTCATTTTGCACATCTCTAGTTAAAACACTTTACAGTACAGTATTTTATTTGTTTACCTTAGGTCCACATTTGTGTGAGAATTTTTTTCTATAATCTTTTTGCTGCTGTAAACACAAGAATCTTCCCATTGTGGGACAATAAAGGGATTTTCTATTGTATTCTATCCTTTTTTAAAGCATTTAAACGTACTTTACATCAAGGTTCATTCTTTACCTTGAAAATTTTATTGATTTTATATTTTTTTAAAAAGCAAATATCTTATGCCTTACAAAATTGTCTTAAAAAAAACGTCTTAAAACTATTATAATGATGTATCATGTAATTTATTTTTTTATAAACATTTATAAACAAAGCATTGTTAAGATGTCTTGGTCATTAAGGGGGGAGGCGTTTGTTTAGTCCTAAAATTTTAGAACATGTTAGTAAAACATAATACTTTTAATACAATAGTTATGTTACAAAGGAGCCCTTAACAAGCACTGAGTGTTGGTTGCACCAGATGACCATGTATGCTAAACCCTGGCTTGGCTGGAGGTTTCTTCCACATTATAGGGAAGGTTTCCTTACCACTGTCACCACATGCATGATAGGCATGAAAGATTTCTATAGTTATTGGAACAGTGAAAGCAACACTTTTTCCTCATCCATAAGGAGTGGATGTAGCAAGGCAATCATCCATTGCAATTTGCTGTATGTATTTAATAAATTAAACTTGACTGCACTGTTTTAAATCTATTTAAAAAAAATATATTTTCCTTGTATCAATGTTGTGAACGGCTCATTAGGTGACTTAATTTGCCATAATTTGCCTAATCAAAAATTAATAGAAAAAAAAAACTGAAATATCTGTAGTAACCTTTACAATTTTCATTGAATTTGTGAATATGGGATTGTCTAATATATTGAGATGCCTTTGAGTATTCCAAAGTATATAATTCAGTAATAATTCTCAGTATTTCTTTAAATGATCGATTAATGTGAGCAAATGATATTAAAAATGATATAAATGTTATCTCTTTAAATAATTAAAATTTAATGCAGTCTATATGTTGAACTGTGGCACTCTTTGAGCTCCAAGCACCTGCGCCCAGCAAATAAAGAGCGGGAGCAGCCTCTGCAGGGGCGGACACTCCAACAGCTGCGATAAGTGATCAGCAGCGATCAGCTGACCAGCTGGCAGCGCTGCACAGCAACAGAGCACCAAACGGAGGGCTTTTAGGGACACGCTGCTGCATGCTGGCTGACACACTCTGCACAGGCTGTATGCTGATCAGGTGGGAGGGTATACCAACCTGATTTAATAGGTTCATCAGATGCAAGGACAAGCACCAATTCAGTGCTGAAAGCATGAAAGGCTGTCTTCAAATTCAAGCAGAGCAAAAAACTGAGATAAAACACAGGATTCAAAAATTCAGGTCAATTTATTTTATTTATTTAGTGACAGTTCACAACACGGGTCTGCGCTGTGGTACAGTGTGTAGCACTGCTGTTTGCAGCAAGAAGGTTCTTGGATCGATTCCTGGTCTGGGCAGGGGCGGAGTTAGATGTACGATTTTCGGGGCGATTTTCCAGTCGTGCGAGAATCTTTCAGCCTGATCGTGCGTCGTGTAGTGTAAAGGGGATCAGCCTCTCACGACCACCTCCCGATCAGGAATCATGGGCAAATCGCTCAGTGGGCATGCGCAGACAAGGTTTCCTCTTCTTCTTCCTCTCAGATGTAAATACAGAAGCATGGCTGGGATGCAATGTGTGAAATGCAGTTCTGTCTGTAAAATTGACAGACCATAGTAGCAACGTTTGCTCAGCCATGTCTTTTTTCTAAATACTTCGTCGCCTTTTCTTTTTAGGGCTTTCAGCACAAAATTGCACAAATTGATAAGGCAGCACGTTTCACTCTAGTGAGCTTCATATTCCTCTTCTACTCGTTTGGCTTCCGGATAGACGAGTCAGAGCAGCTCCATCTCAATGCGGAGCTGAGTCCGACATGCTTTTTAGTCGTACAGTGTAATCAGGTAGATCGTATGAGAACTTCGTGCTGCACATCGTTAGCTGTGAGCAGTAGTTGCATGCAACGACTGAAAAAAATCACACAGTGTACGCCCGGCTTTAGCCAATCATTGGCCACCCCTACCATTTTTTCCCTCTCTAATACAGATGGTGGCAGCAATAATACTCAAGTGGAAAATTCATTTAAATTTTCCATATATTACTTACTATTTTTTCATGTATTCAAAATTTCTTGACAACAAAAAATATAAATTTTATGCCAAATAATTATTAATAAAAGTAGGTAAGTAATAACGACGGAAAAGATGTTCGCCCCAGAACTCAAATCTGAAAGTATTTTATCCACTATACCTTTTATCTGGAAAGCACGGAGGTTTAAATATATGCATCTATTCTTTGCAAAGGCTGTTGGAAAGTATAGTTAGATTATAGTTATACTTTGGCTTGACCCTCAGGTTCTGGCACCTATCAACTTTCGGCGACCCCTCAGTGTACATTGATTATTGCCTGGCCACCCTTTTAAAAATGTTCTGGCTACCTCTCTGGGTCCCGGTTCTTTCTGCATGGAGTTTGCATGTTCTCCCTGTGCATGCATGGCTTCTCTCCCGGTATTCCGGTTTCCTCCCAAAGTCCAAAAACATGACATGAGGTGTGAGTGTGAATAGTATTTTGTCTGTGTTGCCCTGCGCTGGACTGGCGATACTGCGCATCTAGCCCTTTGACAGCTGTAGTGAGTCACCAGCACCGCTCACCAGACCCCAGCAGGGATAGGCGATCCGGAAAATGGATGGATGGACAGTTTACAACATGTTTGAAGTTTTCTGTCTAAGAACAACCAGTAAAGTAAGCAAAGAAAAACAGAAAAAAAGTAAGAAAATTAAAACTATTGTTCTAAATCCTTTGAATAAAATGACCTCTGTTCGCTTTCTGCTCAAAGGACTGCTTTCTATTTAAATTTATTATTTTTTTATCAAGGCTATTATAATTCAATCAAACTAGAATTAGAACCAAATACACAAACAGAGATAAATTACTTAATATTTGTATTCAAATAAAGGTGTGTGTTCTACTTTAAGGTGTTTAAAGTGCTGTCTGT